GGAGCTGCTGCGACAGAGGCGGAGGCTGCTCCTGAACGCGTCGGGACCGAGCAGCCGGAGCCGCAGCCCAGAGGTGCCGGGCGGTGCGCTGGGTGCTGCTGCCCCTGCTCGCCCGCCTGCGCCCGGGCCCCCGCTGCCACCCGGGCCCCGGCTGCCGTCGCCGCCCCCGTCGACCCCGCCCGCGTATGCGCCCCAGCCGGGTCGCCGCCCCCGCCCGGGTCTCCACTTCTCAGTCGCACCTTCCATGACAGCGCCCGCGCGAAGATGGCTGCGAAGGGCGCGCACAGCTCCCACCTGAAGGTGGAGAGCGAGCTGGAGCGCTGCCGTGCCGAGGGCCACTGGGACCGCATGCCTGAGCTGGTCCGGCAGCTGCAGACGCTGAGCATGTCCGGCGGCGGGGGCGGCCGGCGTGCCAGCCCAAACACAGCTTACACCTCTCTGGACACCGGTGAGTGACAAGAAGGGGTTGGCCCGTCCGCGGCGAGCGCGCGAAACGCACCGCCTCCTCCAGGAAGCGCTCCCCGACAGTCCTCGGCTGGAGACGGCCGCCTACGCTCCCTCAGTGCTGATCTTAGGAGCAGCTGGGGTGGTTAGGGAGGTCTTTCTGCTCCAGGTTAAAAATCACGTGCAGGTTGTGTGCTTAGGAGGAAGAGACATAAACGGCTTTTCACTGTGCCTTTTAGGATCATGGAGGTAACTCTGTGTTCTGTGAAATTGTGGTATCTGCACGCATCAGAACAGTGTGTGGGCTGGATCTGGCTCCCCACCCGCCACATCAGCTCCACTCGGGTCGGCGGGGAGATCCCTAAACTGCTTCAGGTGAAGGCTGTGTCTATCTCCTCCCCCTCTCCCATTCGCCTCACTTTTCTAAGTAAAGTTAAAAAGTCTGCAGCAGGCGGGGTGGGAATTTGACAAGTACCAGCGTGGAGTGGTGGAAAAATGGGGAAGAGGCCTGGCAAACCTTAGTTTCCTCATCTGTGGCGGACTCAGGACCCATACAGCCCTGGCACTCTGTGGTGTTAGCGGTAGGGCTGGTTTGGCTAGGCTGGGCTCTTGTGCTGGGGCGGGAAAGCACCCTGATGTGGCAGCAGGGAACACTCCGCCCCAGTCGCTAACCTCAGATCCTGTTGCTAGTGCCTTCAGCTCAGCCTGGAGAGTCGTCCTTGACCCGCCTCTGTGTGCAGCTCCACATAGGAGCTTTTGTGGAAGGCACTAAGGAGTGAATAAATACAGATATAAAAAGTTTTTAAAGACTGCCCAGTCTGTCAAAGGCTCTGTAGGGGAGACAGAATGATAATAATAATAGTAGTAATCAACTCCATGAATCTGAGACTCTTGTTTACCCCACTTTACAGATAAGGAAACTGAGGCACAGAGAAGTAACTTGATCATCTGGCCAGTAAGTTGTGGAACCAGGATTTGAACCCAGATTTCTGAGTACATCCTTTTAATCATTTGCACTGTTAAACTCTCAAAGATGTCAAAATCCCTGCCCTTGAAGAGCTCCCAAGGCAGGGAAGTGATCAGAGGGCATTTGTGTGTTTGATTGGAGCTCAGAGAAAGGAGATAAGGCTTCAGGGAAGCAGCAGAACTTACCCTGGTCCCTGACTGGTGTGTTTGCCAAAGGAGGAGGAAGGACAGGATACTAAGGGGGCAACGTGGTTTGAGGCTTTGAGGTAGGTCTGAGCATGGCAGTAAGGGGCAGTGGACAGGGCACATTCTTCCAGGGCAGAGTAGATAAATTGCAGGTTTCCCGACATCCCCTGTGTAATGGGGATGGAATGAGAATTGACCTACGCAGAAGATATTGGTTCCTGGGTGAGGTGGGGGACTGAGTGAGGTCAGCACTACGGAGAATCCTGCTAGGATCAAGACAGGAACTGGGGTCTCTTTGTATCCTTATGGGAATGTACTTCTTAAGTTGTTCTGTAGAGATCTCAAAGAGAGTGAGCAGTTAGTTAATTGGTATCCCAGGAAGAAAGGGTTTAAGGAGTTAAGAAATGGGCAATGATGGATTCAATGATGTTAAACAGACTTTTTAAAAAAACAAAAAAACAGAACTTCTTAGAGCCTTTACATGCTAACCTGTGTGCAATGTGCAAGCCAAGGTTAGAGTATAAATGCCATGTTTTTCAAACTTACCTTGACCATATTCTATGGAACATCATTGGGAAACACTGGGATAGCATAGGTGATAAATGGCTTGGTATGGTTGTAAAGTGTTTTTTCTATTTTTTAAATTCTTGTAAATAACACTGTGAGGAGGGCAGGAGTTACTATCCTCATTTAGACATAGGGACACCAAATGTGTGTGTGGTAAAGCCTTCACTTGAGCCTGAGTCCCTGCTACCAAATCTCCTAGTATCAGAGTTGGGGGCCTGGATCCTGGGCTGGCATCTCTGCGAGATCTGACTAGTATAAAGAGGGAGATTGAGAGGCAGTAGGGTCTCTCTGCCAATTTGGGGTTTGGTTCTATGAATGATTTTTCTCCCAGAGACACTATCCCAGAACACACACTCTCACATGGGCATGTGCACACATAGAAACATGAGGAAGGAAAAGAAATGACTCCCAAAGTTCATACATAGAGCACTATTTGTTTTTGTTTTGTTTTTTTGAGACAGAGCCTCAAGCTATCCCCCTGGGTAGAGTGCTGTAGCATCACAGCTCACAGCAACCTCCAACTCCTGGGCTCAAGCAAGTCTCCTGCCTCAGCCTCCTAAGTAGCTGAGACCACAGGCACCTGCCACAACGCCTGCCTATTTTTTTGGTTGCAGCTGTCATTTTTGTTTTGGCGGGCCCAGGCTAGATTCGGACCTGCCACCTTAGGTGTATGTAGCTGGCGCCTTAGCCACTTGAGCCACAGGCGCCAAGCCTAGAGCACTATTTGGATTAACTGCTATTTTGGTTTTTCCTCTACAGAGTTTCTTGATCACTCAAGGGATTGAGAGCTTACTCTTTTGGGGGTATTGGCACTGACCCCCGCCTAAAGCCCAGCACGGAAATTTTTTCTTTTTCTTTTTTTTGCAGTTTTTGGCTGGGGCTGGGTTTGAACCTGCCACCTCTGACATATGGGGCCGGTGCCCTACCCCTTTGAGCCACAGATGCCACCCCTCTTTTCTTTTTTTTGAGATAAAGTCTCACTCTGTCTCCTTGTGTAAAGTGCTGCAATGTCATAGCTCACAGCAACCTCAAACACTTGGGCTCAAGTTATCTTCTTGCCTCAAGCTTCCTGAGTAGCTGGGCGATGGCTGCCACAACACCTGGCCAGTTTTAGAGATGAGTCTCACTCTTGCTCAAGCTGATCTTAAACTCCTGTACTCAGGCAGTCCACCTGCCTCAGCCTCTCAGAGTGTCAAGATTGCAGGTGTGAGCCACCATGCCTGGGCTTAGAAATGAGATTCTTGAAGTACCACCTGACCTGTTAGACTCTTACAAGTCAATAGCCTGATACTTCAACAGTTGCATAATTTGGGAGTGGAGAGGAAGGTACTGGAGGAGTTGAACACCACTTTACTGAGGACTTGAGGCTCATCTGTGTCTGAGATTTTCTAGGGAAACTAAAAGCAGCTTTTAGACAGTAGATTCCAATTCTAGGGAGGGTGGGGGTGAGATGAGAAGTGGGGGCCTCTGTCTGGATCAAAAGATGCTTCAGCAGAACAGGCCCCTGTGCCCTCTTCCTGTCAGGGGAGGTTGCTCCTCACCACCCCACCAGGCGGAAGGCAGTTGCTACTGTTTGTATATTTTCTATAATCTTACATCCGGTTTAGATTTGGTCAGGATGGAGCAGGGGAACCCCAGAGTACCGCTGTCTGTGCTGGGGTTTGTTCATGTAAAAACAAAGAACCCATCCAAGTGGTTAAAAAGTAAGAAAAGGCAACTTTATTCAGAAAAATTTCTAAAACATAAAAAATAATAGAAGAATGAGTCCCACATACCCATCAACCAGCTTCAGTGAACTTAGAAAGTCTTGTTTGAGCTATGCCCAACACTTCAGTTTTTCAGTATCTATCAATAAAATAAGGACTCATTTAAAAAATATAGCCGCCAGGGCGGCGCCTATGGCTCAAAGGGGTAGGGCGCTGGCCCCATATGCCAGAGGTGGCGTATTCAAACCCAGCCCCAGCCAAAAACTGGAAAAA